AAAACAATGCAACCAAAATGAGTCCAAAAGTTGAAGAAAATCTTAGTGATACCCATAAAAGAATAAGAACAAAAATATATTCGGATGGAGAAAAAAAAAGAGATATTTTTACTGGAAAAGATAAAATTTGTATAGAGGTATTTAATGTTTTGTTAGATAATTTGAGGGCTGAACTTAAAAAAAGAAGTGTTGTATATCACGGCTGTTTCAGAGTGGACATACGGCTTCTTGTTATTTTTCAAAAATAATTATTTAGGAGGTGTTACTAAAACTTTCATAACTTTTGAAATATTAAAGATAAATACGTTCTGTAGAAAAAATATGAACACCAACTAAATGTTTTATATTTTATCATTCAATATAATAATCCAAGGCTGCTCTGATTTTTTAATAAACGCGCAAAATGACAAACTTGGCAGAGCTTCGAAATATTAAATGGTATTTTTTAGCAAAAATAATCTAAAAACTATATTTCCGTTGACTAATATGTAATATAAACATAGTTAGACCAATTATAAAACATATTAACATTGTTTACACCGAATGCGAACTGATAGAGGAACTACAATAGGCGAAATAAAAAAATCGCAAAATACTTTTTTTTTTAAAAGATTTAAAACAAACAAAAAGAATTTCGATTTTTTTTTGCTTTCGGTCGTAGAATAATTTCCTGATACTAAGATTAATATTACAATATTAATACATTTCTGTAGAAAAATAACACATTTTTTTATAAATATACATAACAATAAAAGCAATTTAAAAAATTTGATAACTCGTTTTGATGGATTGACATAAATATTTTTTTTTTAGTTTGTATATTTATATATATTCTATAAGTAGCAAACGATCTTTGCATGCAATTGATATTAGTTTTATTTCTATTTAAGTTTGTTTTATTTATACACTAAAATTTGTCTCGCTAAAAAAGCTGTTTTAATAAATTTAATTACATAGTGAATTGCGAAGTAACGCATTTAAAGTTACGTCATTGCTTTAAATATAAACAAAAATTTTACGCATGTAACTATAAATTTTGTTGCTAAAAACAACAAACTTTGCCAAGGTTGAAGACGTTTTAGTTAGAAGTAAAGAAAGTAATTTTTTTGATTTTCATGTGCATAAAGGGTTGTAATTGCAATAATTTGGTGAACTTAACAAAAATATAACGTTTTTCATATAAAACAAGTAATAACAAAAATCTAAAAGCTAAAAAATCCACATTAAAATTTTTTTTATCCATGTTCACCAAAAATCGGATAAAATAGACATTCGTTTATAAGCATGTAAAACTTTAACCATAAAGCATGTAGCTTAAAATATCTAATCTTGATTGGCCCAAGACAGGTTTTCCTTAAAATACGCAAAAAACAGAAAAGTGATCCCAAATCATTAGTAATATTTTTACAACTTTTATTTTTATTTCGTTTAATGAGAACATTTATTTATAATGGTAAGAAAGATGTTCCTTTTTTTGTTATTGGAACACAAAAGCGTTTATAGATAAAAAAAAACCATTACTTTAAAGTTATTGAATTTTTATAAAAAAACTTTTTATGCAAAAATTGTTTTTGCTAAACTCGTGACGTAATGCCCAATTTTACATTGCCGTGATATTGGAGATAAATTCAAACTTTTAATGAACCTGGGCAAGAGATTCCGTTATTTAACTTTAATCAATAAAGTTCGTTATGTCATTATATAAAAATGATATTAAAGAAGAACTATTAAGTGAATTCAGTCAACTTTAGCATTATTTAGATGTGGTATGCTTTAAACAAAATGATTGCATCAATGCTTCCAAAATGTTGACACTAATTTTTGAAAAAAAACTTTATTCATATATTTATACTTAAATTTATATTTATTCTTAAAATTTAACTAAAAGTAATTAACAGAAGCAGACCGTTTTTTTTTTTAAATTGTTATAAAAAATAAATATAGATCAACAACGATGGATGGTTCAGTTAAAATATCAAATAAGTGCAGAAGAAAATTTTGTTTTGAATTTGTTGTTATAATTACATGTAATTATGAAAAAGTCTTTATGTAAATGTTATTTTTTAGTTTTAATAGAATTTGATTTTTAAGTTTCATTTGTTCACAAAAACATCAGGCTATTTCACATATTTAGAAAATTTAGCTCCTGGGGGGCTAGGGTAGGATCCCAAAATTTCAATCAACCTAGGGCCCCAAAAACCACCATCCGCCACTGAACACACACTACTAAGAATTTCTACAAAAGCCTTCTACTAAAGATTTCTACTAAAGACTTCTACATAAGACTTCTACAAAGGATTTCTACAAAAGACTTCAACTACAGACTTTAACAAAGGACTTCTACAAAGAACTTTTACAAAGGACTTCTACAAAGGACTTTTAAGTTCTTCTACAAAGTTCTTCTACAAAGGACTTTTAAATAACTAAAGACTTATTATTAAACTTCTATTAAAAAACTTTACTAAAAACTGATAACAAAAGCTTCTATTTAAGACTTCTTTTAACTACTATTATGACATACAAATGAGTTCAAAACGCTGTAAATCCATTTTTTGGGTTTTGAGTAAATCAAACTTTTCTCTTGCATAAAGAAATTAAGTATTTTGGAATAAGTTATTATTGATTTAGTTAAACATGTACTTTATTAATAAGACTACAATATCTACTGAAATCAAGCTTTATGAAATTGATGTATATTTTCAGTGGTTATTTTTGTTTTGTTTCAAAACGTTGTATATCCAAGTATTATTTATTAACAAAACGCTTTATATCCATTTCATTAATAAAATATATTTATTAATGAAACATATTATTTTCTTATGCATTTTAAGATCTACCTTAAAATCTTGTTCTCCTTTGATGTAAATCAGCAACTTTTTTTAAATAAATCACAAGTGCAACTATAAAAATAATATCTAGCTGAACTCGATCAAACAAACGATCAGCTGGCAGATATGAGTGACTTCGTTTCGGAAAAGTATGTGTAATCTGCAGTTTATTAAAATATTGTTTTCTTAGAGCAAGAAACATACATGTCATATTTATGTTTTTGTTCCGGCCATAGCATGCATCAGAAAACAACCAAAGTAACAAGGCATTGGAACATTTATCTTTTAAAACATTTTAAAGTAGATGTTTTAAATATTATATAGTTTTATATCATATTTAAATCTTTCCTATTCTCACACTCCATCCAAGTAAAAAAATATATATCGTTAACAAACTGAAACTTTTATGAATAACAACACCAAGGACATAAAAATAAAACTGCCTAGAATGGTAGGCTTCTCCGATTGATAATTTTGGTCGTACAATGTTCCCCATCATGTCAAAACAGACAGTGATCTCATTGGGATGAATATCATTAAGAAGACTATAAAGTTTTTTGGCTTTCCTTTGATGAAGAACGAAAAGAGCAGTTTTTAATTTTTTTTTTGGTCATATTTTGGTTTTTCATAGCCAACTTATATGTTTGGCATGTAGAGCATGTATTTGTTACTGGTTATCCAAAAGCTAAATTGAAATGGTTTATTAATACCCCATAATAATAATGGTAGCTTACAGTATAAGTATTGTTTCTATCCAAAAAAAGTTCGTACATCCGCTTTACATTTAAATCAGAGAGCAAATATTTATGTCCTGGAGCACCTTTTCTTCCATAATGACTTGCTCTCCAACTAAAAGACTGAATATGGTTTTTAATAGTTTCTTTCTTTTCAGAAAAAGCTACTTTCTTCCTGTCTCTTCCTCTATTTTCAGGTCTGGTTGTTCCATGTTCATCCCAGTGTCTTGCAATTCTTAAAATTCTATCAGGTTTTATCGCTGGAATAAATTAGTAAAATATTAAGTTTTTATCACTAAATTTTTTTTAACAAAATATACATTCTATTTCTGAATTAAAAATAAAGTAATTTTATACTTACACAATACTGAACAAAATGAAGCTTGGCAAACTCGTAATTTAATTCCCTTGCAGCATAAAAAGTACTTAATACTCACAATTCTTAACTTTATTCGATTATTATATTTCACTCTGACTCTTTTTCACATTGATTATATTGACAGTATAGTAGCATCTTGTGATACTTTACTTGCAATACTATAGAATTCTGTATGATGTTTAAGCAAATTAACACAACACTTTCATCTTAGCCATCCAAATCAGCCATCTTTATTACTATTATTATTTAAATATGCTTATTGCGTTTGCATGGAGTTAACTTTATATAAGCATGGATTGGTCAAAAAAATATACAGCACATTGAAAATAGACTTAAAAAATTATACCGCATTTTGAAAATAAATTATTTTTTCTCTAAATTAAGAAAGAAAAAAATTAAGCCTAATTAATTAGTTACAAACATGACTTAAAAGGATTTAATTTTCTCTTCAAAATTAGTCACTTAACGCAATTTTTTTTTAAATTGGCGCTTGACGCTTTTTTGAAAATAAGCTCTTTAAATATATACTAATGTATACTAATAATTTGATATGTGTACTAATAATTTGAAAGCTATAATTATCTAATCAAATGGTAATTATTGATATGGCTTCTATAACTTAATCAGCTCCTTAAACTTAAAAATGTTTCCAGTTATTGCACAGTGGTTTAACTTGCCTAGTTCCAAAATCCTTCAAACTGCATATTTATTTTAACTTTTAAAAAGAAATTACAGAATGGCAAATTTAGATTAAAAATTAATATGTTAGATTTAAATAAACATGTTAGAAGTAAATAAATATGTTAGATGTTAATAAATATGTTAATAATTTTTACTTTTTAACTGCTAAAGAAAGATATAACAGTTTAAAAATCTTTTTGCAACAAAAAACCAGTAATAAATTATTCTCATCACTTTTTCTTCAGTAATTAATTTGGAAGTATTTTTTGTTTTGAATTTTTAAAAAATGTTTTTTTTTTTAACTTTTATCATACTTATATTTATTTTTTGTTATATTTATATTTTAAAAAACAGAATGCTACAAAAAGAAAATCTCACTGTTTTTGGAGTTTATTAAAGTCAACCAAATTCTTTGACCAAAAGATATACTTGCACATTTCATCATCAAACTAAGAAATAAAATACCTAATATATATATATATAGATCTACATATATAAATATATATCTACATATATAATTATATATCTACATATATAAACATATATCAATATATATAAATATATATCTACATATATAAATACATGTTTTTTATATATATATAAATACATGTTTTCTACAAGTATAAATATATAACTACATATAAAGCACAAAGTACCTCTGATTAGAATTTTATGAACAAAATAAAAGTTCGAATTTGGGAAATTTTTAAACTTATAGAAAGTTAAGTTATTCTGGTCAAATAAACAAATAGAAATGAAACAGATAATGATTCTTAATCCTAAATATATTATGTGTTTTAAAGTTTTACATTTTTAAAATAAGTCAGTAATTGTAGATTGTCTTTTATGAGCTTGTAAATAAATGACACAATTTACACCTTTATAAGTCTTTGTCAACAATCTGCAAAGTTAAAATATAGACTTTTACATTTGAATACAGTGAAGGCATACATCAAACATATATTTGTTCAAAATTTTAAGGTTTTGTAGTAAAAAAACATCAAAATGCTCTTTATCAAATATCTCTTCAGTTTTAATAGCGTCTTTTCCAGAAACAAAAGTTTCTAGAGATGACATTACTAAACCTATGCAATGACATTTGGCCAGGATATTGAAACCTGTACTAAACTTTTCTTTTAGCAATTCTTTTAAACTCTTTTTTTTCTTTTCTCCTAATTTTCCATAACAACCTCCTAAATATCTAAACCACAGAACATATAATAAATCAAATCATTATAATTTCTGATTTCTTGAAACAATTTACAAAGGTTTGGTATAGAATAAAATTCCATACATTTGTTACCATAGTAATGAGGGTAGTTAAGATTTAAAAAAAAAATCAAGCATTTTGTTCTCTTTTTCCAATAAAGCAAATCCTCTTTTCACTGTGATAAAAAATGTATTGAAAGAGCGTTTAGTGGAATCTCTTAATTTGTTTTCCATTATCCACATTATTGATTATATTCTCCATGTTATCATCCATATTCTCTATATTTTCCATCAGAGTTTAAATTGTTTTATTTATGCAGTCTATTTGATGTCATGCTTGAAAAAAGTAATTCATGCCTTTTTTTTTGAGAACTCTAAAAACAAATTTAATGGTCTAACAAACATTTTACTCATCAGAACGTATGATTTACAGATATTTACATATTTATGATCTTACATAAATTCAAATCCATTTAAATTGCAAATGTCAACAAAATGTATAAAGCTAAACATAAGAGTTTCTTAATTCATGGTTGCATTTAAAATATGGAGGTTTTTGAATTAAAGAAATTTAAACAGATTTTACTGTATAATAAAACTATAGATATATAACAAAATTACAAAATTTATTTATTTGATTAAACATACATGTAGTAATTAGTTCCAGAAATTTTAAAAACTTGATTAAGATTCAACTAAGACATTTATACTAGTCACAATTATTTTTTTTCTGTATACCTTTTTTTTCCAGAAAGTTGTCAAGTTGTTTTTGCTTTGTTAGATTTGTTTTTTTTTTAAAAAACGTTGCAAAGTTAACTCTGAAAAATAACTTGGTGACATGGGATAAATTTGAAGAACATAGAATGAACATTCCATTTTGCTTATGATGTAAACTATGCTACTTTCTAGATAAATGCATTCTAAGCAATTTCTTCAAATTCAAATAAATAACTCTAAACTTTTTTTTTTACCTAATAAAATACATCAAATAACTTCCTACTTATGGAACACTCAATCTATCTATCTTAAACACAAAAACTATGAACTATATATTTTTGCTGGTAATCATATCATCTTTGCTTGCATTTCTTTGTAAAGGTTTATAGTTTTAAAACTAGGTAAAAATAATGTTTTTTAAACTCTGCTCTCAAATAAATGCCACAATAAAACACTTCATCAAAAATTTATTCACTAACTGAAAAAAAGTTTTTAAATTGTTTAACATTTAGAAATCTTTAAAATAATGTTTGAAATATAATTACATTTTATTAAATATAATTCAACTGTCTTTTTATCCTACTAATGACTCATTTTTGATAATGTTTTGGTTTTTTTTTGCTTGCTGAAATTGTTATTTTGGTAATTTTAAGGCATTTTGACAAATTTGCTCAATAACCCGACTTGTACTAAAACTCTATTACTGCTAAATTCCTTTTTCCCATTTATCGGATGCTAAAAATATTGTCTTACTAACCTAGAAACCTTTGTCTATTTTACCTAGAAGTTTTTACCATTTTACAAATTTTCTTAACGTTAATAAACCTTATAACTGTATTTTTCAGATGTGTCTCATCTAATTACATTACTTTGTAAGTACTTGAGCTGCATAGTGTTCTAAAAACTCTGGTTTAGGTTTTGAGTACTACCAATTAAAATTTGAATAATTTTTAGATTAAATAGCCAGTTTGGTTTTATAACCAGTACCTGATTTAAAAATAATTTATTGATAAACCCAAAAGATTTCCTTTTGATAAATCCATTTTATTGATAAATCCAAAAGATTTCAAATTAGCAAAAGCAGTTTTTAAAAATGTTCTATTAATAAGAAGGAAAAACTGGTTTATTTTTTAATAAGGTGTTGTCCATAAATTAGGTCACGCTTTAGGAGGGTGGGGGGAGGGATTAGTGGTTTTGTGACAGCTCATACAGAACTTGCTAATAAAGAGTTACAGTATTGTAAAAAGGAGGCGGATAGTAGTGGAAGTGAAAAAAAGCAATCAAAAATTGCATGACGTAATTTGTGGACAACTCCTAAGAAGTAAAAACCACTCTTTAAATCTTGTTTGGAACAAAGTTCTTCAAAATTTGTATAAGATGTAAACTTTATGACATGAATTAAAATTCATTTTCTTTTTTTCTACTTGATGTGCAGTAAAGTCTGCATACATCAACTGGTACAACTGGTACAGTGTAGTCTACATACGATAGATCATATATCTAATTCTGATGAGAGAATAAAGAGAATTTTTAAGTGTAATTTTAACTATTTTAAACTAATTAAAAAAAATTTAATCACAAAAATAATTTTTTTTTTCCCCTTTTTTTGTCTGCAACTTTGCGGTAAAGGAAGGAGGGGGGGGGGGGGGTAATGTTAGTTAATCTTTTGTACATTAGTTTATAATTGCTATTTTTTAAACATAATATCTCAAAAATTTAAATAACATATCATAGAATGTTTCTACAAAACAAAATATTTAAATAAGGAAAAATGCAAATATTACAATATTTAAACCTCTTTAAACAATTATAAAAAACCATTTAAGTATTATTTAATGCTGACAATAAACCATGTTTTATTTTTAAAGAGTATTTAATTGTCATTGTAGATAATTGCTATATAAAACAAAATAATACTTAAATATTGTTTTTTCAATATAAAAATTTTGTATTAATATAACTTATAATAGTAATAAAAACAAGTGAAACATGTTGTGGAAAGTTTGTATAATTTATATTTTATTTTATTAAGTTCTTTTTTATATAAATATGCAGTAGTTTTTTAAACTTTTTTATAATCTACCACATTTAAGCTTAGTTAAAACACTTGGATAAAACTAACAGAAAAAAAAAAGAAAGAAAACTTTGGGAACCATCAAAATAGAGTCGTGTTTGCTCCAACCATTTTGTTGACAAAGAACCAAACATGGAATTTCCTAAACCCACTTTAAATCTTAGATATAATGCAACTGAAAAATCTGAAATGCTTTTATCTACAGGTAAAAAAGGATTATTAACTAAAGAAGTACAAAGTTTTACTAAATCAAGTGTATCTGAAAGTTTTGAACTTTATATTAATGTAGGAAACTCTGTGACATATGAAAAATCATATTCCAATTTTAAAAAATTAAAAAGTTTTTGAGCATCAAAGATTTATTAATTACAATATTGTTATTTATTATTTACAGTTTAACAAAACATATACTTCAATATAAAGAAAAATTAAGCTGTCCAAAACTACTTTATAAAAACTATTAACAGAAAAAAATATAAAGTTTTATAACCTTGAATATCAAGGAATGTTTCACAAACTTTATAAAAAGTTTGATGACACTCCGAATGAGGTTACTAACGACAGATTTGACAGACCGCTTTGGTATTTCAGAAGGATTATGTATCAGTATTTTCAAATTTTGGTTAAGAGCCTTAGCAGAGTACTTTTTTTTTTTTTTTTTTATGCACCAGACCTTGGAACATTAATTGCTACAACACTTGAAAGATTTCATTAGCTTAAATATTATTTACTATTATTGGTTGTTCAAAAATTTGAAAGAAACACCAAAAGACTTAGAACTTCAGAGTGCAATTTTGTCCAAATATATAAATCATAACACATTAAAGTTTCATATTGTTGTAGCATGTATTATATTTATGTCATTTACAGGTCAAACAAAAGATAACACTTGACTCTAAGTTTCTTGATCTAGTTAAATTGATGGCTGATAAAGGTTTTAACCTAATTGAAAAGTGTGCTGCAAGAAAAATATAGTTTATTTTCACTTGGTTGTAGAGGCCTCTCACAGATGACAGATGGTAATGTAAGCAAAACTAGTGCTATTGCTAAAGTTATATGCTAAAGTTAGAATATAAGCTGAACAGTTTATAAGAAGATTTAAAACCTTTCGAATTATATTACAGGAAGTGCCAAAAAATTTAATACCATGTATTGATGATATTCTGGTAGTTTGCTCCGCATCATGCAATTTTAAATAACCTAGTAAATTTAATCATGACAAATTAAATTTATTTTTAAGTTAATGTAACTTTATTTTTCAGTAATAAATTAAATAGAAATAAAAGCAATAAACTTTTAACAACTTTCAAATTTATTTCGTTGTCTTTTTTAAACTTCTACCCTTTTCTTGAAATAATACTTAGAAGTCTATCCAGTTTTTTGTTTTCTTTTAATGTATTAAGTTTAGCTAAAACATGTAAAGCTTGCTGAAGCTTACAGTTATATAAT